CTCCCCCCAGCCCCCTCCCCACCCCAGCCCCTCCCACCCCAGCCCCACCCTCCCCACCCAGCCCCACCCAGCCCCACCTCCCCACCCAGCCCCACCTCCCCACCCAGCCCCACCCCCCACCCAGCCCCACCCAGCCCCCACCCTCCCCACCAGCCCCACCTCCCCACCCAGCCCCACCCTCCCCACCCAGCCCCACCTTCCCCACCCAGCCCCACCCTCCTCACCCTCCCCACCAGCCCCTCCCCTCTCCACCCAGCCCCACGCCTCCCATTTTTTTATGCACGACGGACGGACGGACACAACAATCCCCTGTGGGCTGGTGTAACCAGGAGGTTCCCAGCGGTGTAAAGTGAGTCCAGCTCAGGCACCGAGAGCAGTGCGGCTGATGGAGGTGGTCACTGACAGCGGCAGTGGGAGATGTCCCCCCAGACGCGCGCTTTGTGTGTGTCGGTGTCGCCACGCGCTGTCACCTGTGGCTCTCTACTGAGTTCATGGGCTCTTATGAACACTGCCAAATGTGATTCTGCCTTTGTGAGTTATGAACCGAGTTTCACTGCAAGGCAACGTTCAATTAATAGAATGGTAAATGCAAAGTCGTATTAAATTTTGACTTAAACTTTCGTGACTGCAGGAATTCAAATTTTTGGTTCTTTTTGTAAAGTCACGAATATATAAAGTAAAAAAATTTAAAAGTATCATTAATTAAAAATAATAAAAGCAAAACACCCAATTTATTATTTAGACTTCAAACTTATTATTTTTAATAAAATGTTATTTTATTATTTTATTATTTATTTTACATCTCAGTGACTTTACCTGTAAGAACCAAGAATATTAAAGTTTGAAGTCAAAATTCACCCTCCACTCACCCACCCAATCACGACAGCCGGGGGGGGGGGGTGGGGTGACACCACGTGACCCACAACCCCCCGTGGAAAAGACGCTGCCAACCGATCATTCGCCTGCCGCATTCGTTAACACATTCACCCATCATCTCTGCCTTGACGCAATCCACAACATTTATATCTTAAAACACCCCTCCCTCCCGTAATAAATACATTATTTAATTGTACGCATTTTAAACGAGATTAAACCCATACTTACAATATTGTTAACGTAAGTTGTTTTTATTATTGCATCGTGACCACCACCACCACAATCGGCGTCGTGACGAAACTGGCTGCGAGGAATCAGCGGCTTTGTCCCCCTCGTGCGCTTTGCAAATCTGGCTTCGCGCCAAACTCGCTAATTCGCGTTAATCGACAAAAGTTTAACTTGATACAACTTCACAGTTATACAAAGTTGGCGTTCACTTCCCTCACGTTTGAGGGAAATCCCTCATCGTTGTTGTTATCGACGTCATCGCGGCTCTTATCCGCGTGTTTTTTTTTAGTTTTATTGCTCGTTGGTGGCTTGTGGTTGTTGTATTGGGGTGGGGGGGTGTGAGACATCAACTGACATGCCGAGGCTACTCAGGTGCGTGAGTGGCTCTGTGGTTGATTCATAACAGAGAGGGAGTTTGTTGTTGTTGGTTGGGGCAGATCGCGTCAATGTGTAAATGTTGTGTCGTTAAACTCGCCACCACCCGACACAGCAACTGGTGAGGGGGTTGATAATTGGTTGTTTACCCTTCTATCTGGCAACAAAAGGTGTCAGTTTTGTTGCCAGATAGAAGGGTAAACAACCAATTTGTATAGTCGTGTACAGTGTATAGTGTAGAGTAGTGTATAGCAGTGTACAGTGTAGTGTAGAGTAGTGTAGTTCATAGTATAGTAGTGTAGAGTAGTTTATAGTGTAGATTAGTGTAGTGTGTAGTGTAGAGTAGTTTATAGTAGTGTATAGTGTAGTGTATAGTAGTGTAGTGTCTAGTAGTATATAGTGTAGTGTATAGTAGTATAGTGTTTAGTAGTGTAGTGCATATTAGTGTAGTGTATATTAGTGTTGATTAGTGTAGTGTAGAGTAGTTTATAGTGTATAGTAGTGTGGTGTCTAGTAGTGTATAGTGTAGTGTATAGTAGTGTAGTGTATAGTGTAGTGTATAGTAGTGTAGTGTCTAGTAGTATATAGTGTAGTGTATAGTAGTGTAGTATACAGTGTAGTGTACAGTGTAGTGTATAGTGTAATTGATGACATTGGTACATCGGATCAGTTGGGACAGTGTTGGCGGGCTACATGTCATGGCCGTTAGTTGGTGTCACTTTATGTTCGTTGATTGGCCCGGAGTCATGTTCATCGATGACGACGAGTTTCAATGCAGCGTCAATGTCATTGATTGACAACCGCCTTTGCAGATCGATAGGCACTGCCATGGCACTTGCTTTGCATTGTGTCATTGTAATTCAGTGGCACTGGTGTCCTGGCAGTACAGCAAGTGGGCCCGTGAATCCATGTACGTAATGTGATTTATTCCTGAATTGATCTTTCGTTGTTTTTCTTTTATCCAAATGATTGGTGTTGCAGATTCAAGAAATTTGATTATACTCAGCCTGAGGACTTTGAAGACGACGGTGAGTAGAATGTGAGGTATCTATACATATGATGGTTATGGGCAGACGACGTGGTGGACAGTAGTGATGGTTACGATTGTAATTATGGTCATTGACTCGTTGGCTTATTTAAATGATTACAAGTCATATTTCATTACCAAAGTAAAATCGCATTAGATCCATCCGCAATGGAGCTGCCGTGGTTAGCGCGGTGGGCTTGCAATCTAGAAGCCGCTGGTTCAACTCCATATCCCGACGTGGAAAGTCTCTTAAATCCCCTCCCCACCTCTCTTCCACCCAGCGGTGTCAATGAGTTCACCGCGCTTGGTCGTGTGTGGTCGAGGAGGCGCTTTGCCGCCTCTACCAATGTGTCTGCGCAGCGTGGGAGAGTAGGCAATTTCCTCTTTTCAGCTCCCTCTTGTGGAGGCCCTCTGCACCGGTAGTAAAATCTCACCGTAAACTATTGCCAATTCCCGACTTTCATAACCGCCATTTGATTCCGAAAATGGTTATCGGTTTAACAAACCCAGCGATGTACGCGCGTCAATGTGTGTGCGTGTTGCATCGCCACAGACGGTGACTTCTCATCGGCCTCTCTTCCGCCAAGCAAAATGTCTCAAGCGGTGACCAATTCTGACGATGAAAATGGCGACAAGGCAAAGCCTGCAAAGAAGGCCTTGAGCGGAACCAAGAAGTCCCGTCAAGTCACGGCCTTGAACACAGCAGCAGGAACAGCAAGAGACGGAAGGTAATACTATACACTACACTGTACACTACTATACACTACACTAATATACACTACACTATACACTACTCTACTATACACTACACTACTATACACTACACTATACACTACACTGTACACTACTAGACACTACACTACTATACACTACACTATACACTACACTACTATACACTACACTATACGCTACACTATACACTACACTACTATACACTACACTATACACTACTAGACACTACACTATACACTACTCTACACTATACTACACACTACACTATACTACACACTACTCTACACTATACAATACACTGTACACTACTATACACTACACTATACACTACTCTACACTATACACTACTATACACTACACTGAATAATACTCTACACGACACTATACTACTATGCACCACTACTGTACACTACACACTACTCTACATTATACTATAACCTACTCTACACTACACACTACTGTACACTACACTATTATACACTACACTACTGTACACTACACTATACTGCTGTACACTACACTACTGTACACTACACTATACTGCTATACACTACACACTACTACATTACTATTATTGTGCCGTTACATCATGACAAGATGTAAATGCGTGTCCCTTAGAGACGCTCACCAGATGGAGTGCATCACCTCGTCATTGTTTTACAAGTCAGCGTTGTTTGTATTGTTTCTGTTGCATCTCATGGATTCGCAGTTGCTTCCGACAGCCACTGCAATGGTAACGAAAGAACAGATTCTTGAGCCGAATTGCAATCCAAATCATGGCAATTCATGAAACCATCAGGAGGGAAATTCCTTACATGCCTAGTTTGGATTCACTCCTTCCAGCTGCTCCATCATGTTATGTAGCAACCTCTTATTTATAACATTACTAGCGGTAAGTACCCGGCGTTGCCCGGGCGTAAAAGGCAGACACACATGTAGACTTACACACAGACATCGACCTACACACATAGAAACACATCGACTTAGATGCACACACACATATGGTTAAGTGCAGGATGTATCGTTAGCAGGCCAGCCTAAATGTTTGTAACCAGCGAAGATGTTCCATTAGGGGGGTGCATGTTTTGCAAGCGTAGAGAAGGGAGGGAATTACCGTGGCTGAGAAGACCTGGTGCTTCATGCGGAGCGAGAGACCAGGTAGCTTCCACACAGCGTAACGCAGCCGATGAAAAGATAATGGCGCCCGACTAATTTGGAGTGAGACCTCTGCTGTCAAACTGGAGCCGGTCATGAGCACACTGGCCAGGTATGGGAATCTCTCCAACTCTCCACAACTGCCGCATCACCAATTGTAAGTTGTGGGGCTGGATTGTTCGATGGTATAAAATACCCAGGCAGATGGTTAGTTTTGGTGGGGCTGATGGTGAGGCCCCACCTCTTAGTGACAAGCTCCAGGTTCAGCAGCAGTGAGCAGCAATCACCAGAGCATCGGCATACATAACATGGTTGAGCAATAGGGAGGCATCCCTTGACCGCACCCGGGCGTCGATCAGCCTCTTATTGTATCTGTACCATATGGTAATTCCACCGGTATAGGTCACTGAAGGCTTCACGAACTACGTGGTCAAAAGATATGTAAAATAATGTGGGAGCCAGAGGACATCCCTGTCACACCCCAAGGTGTAGAGGGAATGGCTCTGACTGACGGCCACGTAGTTTGACGTGGGGCCGCTCACCATCATGAAGGTCCTAAGGATCGTGAGCAAAGGGTGAGGGACTCCGAAAGCACGAAGAACAACCCAGAGGCCAGGCCTACTGATGGTATCATAGGCCTTGAGCAGGTCAATAAAGCACATACATTCACTCGCACGCACACATGGACCTACAGACACGCAAAGAAATGGACTTACACTTACTCACAAGGAGCAACGCACACAAAGCGACTAACACACACGCACATGGGCTGAGACGCACACATATATCGACTCACACAAACACATCGACTTACACACACATATATGGACTCACACACACTTGACATACACACGTGGAGTTACACAGACATATTGACGTACACACATACAGGGACTCACACACACACATACACACCGACTCACACACAGACATACGTGGACTGACACACACACATTGACGTAAACACACATTTAAAGTTCAAGTTCATTTATTAGGTATAGCCCTGTGAGCCATTCGGCTCTTGAATTGGGTGTACTTACACACACACACACATATGGACTAAGACACACACACATGGACTGACGCACACATACATATGGACTCACACACGCATAGACATCCACTTTAGATACACCCACATGGAGTTACACACACATATATGGACGTACACACATACAGCGACTCAGACACACACACATGGAATCACACACAGACATACGTGCACTAACACACACATTGACATAAACAAAGATCCCCCGTATAGCCTTAACAGACTGTAGGGGCAAGTGCTGTTAACGAGCACCTATGAAGGCCGGAACGGTACATGAGGGGGTAGGTGGCCAGCACCACGCCCGACCGCCTTTGTCTCCCCAGTGGCGATGTTTACACACCGCACCAGGTACTCATTTAAGGCTGAGTCGACCTAGGGGAGGCCCAGGACCGGTTCAGATAATCGTCACTGGTGTTAGCCGTGAGCGGGAATCGAACCCGGGTCGCCAGGTTCATAGCGCAGCGCGCTAACCGCTACACTACCGCTCCCCACACACATGTACTTACACACACATGTACTTACACACACATGTACTTACACACACATGTACTTACACACACATGTACTTACACACATACATAGACTGACACACATGGATTAACACACACATGTCGACTCACACACGCGCACTGACTTACACACACACATCGAGTGAGACACACACACATGTATGGACTTACACACACATGTGGACTTACACACACACACATATGGACTAACACACACATACACATCGACTGACACACATAGACACACGAATACACATACACACTCAGATGGAGCCATGCACACACATCGACTAACACACACACACATGGACTAACACACACACACATGGACTAACACACACACAGCTACTGATACGCACACAAATGGACTTACACGCACACTTGGACTGACACACACACACAAACACTTTGACGTACACACACACATCGGGCGTTGTCCGTTCGAAAAAGACAGACATGGAGTTAAAGACACGCATGGCTCTACACGCACAAACATATGGACTCAAAGACACACACGTGGACTCATACACACACATCGATGGGCACAACAATCCCCGATGATGGCACAGCTATCAGTATCGCAGTACTACGTATGAGTAAATAGCGTGACGTGAGCGATGGAAACAATAGAGATGCATTTAAGAAATAAGCAGAGATAAGTGTAAATGAAAGATAAACAATGAACCAGAGTTGGTATGTGCACACAAAGATATATATATATAGTAATATCTGGCAACGTATTTGTTTCATAATATTAAGCAATGAAGCATATTTTTTATCAGCACACAAACATTATTATTGTAATGTTTGTAAACTAATGTGTTTAACAATAGTAAACAATGGACTTGAGTTGTTAGCGTAAGAAGCAAGGAACTCTGTACTTAGCATAGGCGTGTTGAGGCCTTGTGCCATGCTTAGCCTATGTCCTGGCCTACATTGGCGAGGCGGCGGAGTTGGCACGTTGCCAGGCTAGGGGCTGGGCCGCTACCCCCCCCCCCCCCCCCAGCATCCCCCGCCCGTGCAAGAATAATGGTATGTAAGCAGTAAAATATTATTATCTACGGAGTCTGTAGTATAAAGTGGACGCATCGTGTTGGGGGGGGGGGGCGAAGAGGACATGACACTGTGAAGAAATGTCCGCAGAGTTACGTATGTACGTCTTGCCTGCTGTAAAACGCGTAAAAGGAAATGAGCTCGTGCGAACGCGCATCACTTGGCAGTGTCTACCCCCCCCCCCCCACGCAATTGGCGTCAGTTGGTACGGTCGATGTCGAGCAATAAGTAAGTAATTAATAATAGAAACCGCACAAATGTGTTAATTAAACAACTTTAAACTTTACGGATGGGGAAACGGAATAGCCTATTCCCACCGCGGGGCTTAGGGCGTGCCGCCTGCCAATTTTATTTCTATGTGAAGCCCACCGTCCAAGAGCCAAATCCCCCGCAAGCGCGCGGAGACTCTTATATATAAGAAGAAAAGAAGATTGCACTGCCCACACCAACCTCTGTGCATTGTCGTCGTTTGCAATCGCACTTTGCGCCACTCTGCGCAGACCGTCCCTGGACGACGAGCGTCTCTTTGAGAGGGAGCTCAAGGAGGTCCTTGCCCTCGCTGGTGATCAGACGGAAGTGGCGGCGTCTTCGCGGGAGAGTTCACAGGAAGCCGTGGGCAGTGCCACCGTCAACACGGACGACCCACCCGGTATGAGACTCTACAGATTTGTGGCTTTCTGTATGTTTGCACGTGTGTGGACATGTATGATGCTCACTGCCAACACCAGTAACGATTATATGAACCAGTCCTGGGCCTCTCCGAGGTCGACTCAGCCTCAAATGAGTACTTGGTGCAATTCCAGGCGTGGTGCTGGCCATCCACCCCCATGTATGCCGTGCCGACCTTCATACGTGCTCGCTCACGGCAGCTGCCACAACAGCCTTTGAATGGCTGTACGGGGAATCTATGTGTTTGTACGGTGGCAAGGAGATGTTTCACTTCCTCGTCTGGTGTACAGAAGGTCGTGCGTTCGATCCCGACCCTGACGCCTGCTGCTGTATATTTGGAGTTTGCGTGTCTCTCCCCGTGGTCACGTGGATTTTTCTTCGGGTCCTCCAGTTTTCCCTCTACATTTAGAATATTTCGCCGCGATACATCTCCACGTGATAATTGCTCACTTTCTTGAGCTACCATTTGTGATAGCCAAGTCGCTTCTGAAGAAGAGACATTTGGCTCAGTGGGCCTTACCTGATGACACAAAGTTGTTTAGTTTTGCATGGCAGTGCCAGGCCACTGAGGATGCTCATGTGTTGCCCTCTGTTCAAACCACACAGCAGTCTCCTGCTGGCTTTTTCCTAAATCGTATCGTATTCTTTATTGATTTTTCAAAGTCGAGATAAAATCTTGATTTGAAGCTTCAGTTGACTCTGTAGCACTATCACTACGACTGTATTGTTCCCAAAAAAAATTTTCAATAGTAATATTTGGCAAACATTCAATACGTGCCATGACCACATTGGAATACTTGCTTTTATTTGGTAAAGTAATTCTGACCGATCAGAAATATGAAACAACAGTGTCCACAATGCAGCGACCACGACGACGACGGGTAATCACATGTTGTCTAAAACACGACAGACAACGAGACGGGCGAGTCCTCGGAGTCCGCTGGGAAGTCCGACAGCGATGACAGCGACCACAAGAAGCCCTTCTGGAAGTTCAAGGTGCCTAGGGTCACCGCCGCCACCGCCAACAGGAGAGGGAGCAAAGCCGCCGTGGCCAGGGGCAGCAGAACAACGGGCGCGGCGCGTGGAGCCGGGGCGGATGTCGGGCCAGATCCTGCCCCTCGGCAATCAGCGAAGCGCCTCCCCCCGCCCGCGTTCAACGAAGCCGGCGTCGCGGATCGTGCCACCGCATCGCCTCTACCCAAGTGGGTTCCTCCAGGTAAGGACAAAGCATCGAAACCACGGCCGGCACAAGCGCACGTGTTTCTAACTCGCACGCCTTTCACGTTTTCCCACGATGAAACCATCCATGGATGTGCCTCACCTCCACTGGGTCTGTCTAGGAAGCTAAGCAGGGATTTGAGCCTGCTAAGTACAATCTTAATTTGGAGCTTTCGTGACTGCAGGAATGACTCTTTGGTTCTTTCGGTAAAGTCACGTATAAAGAGAAAGTAATAAATTAAATACTAGCATACGACGTTTCGATTGCAACACAAGCAATCATCATCAGGAATAAATGAAATAGAAACACAAATCTAGTATACTTAGAAATGGAATGTAATACAACAGAGAGTCGGATAACATAACAGTCTACACCCTACCTGGTTGATTATGTTCTTCCTGAGAATACTACATTTGAGAGAGAGAGATAAAAACACAGAACCAGAAACATATAGACAGACATATAAGCAGACAGATATCACAGAGATACATAGAGAGAGGGAACAAACATAGGCACACAGAGAAAGCAACGTCTCTGTATCGAGGCCTTGATGAGTGATGACCACCGTAGCTCTCCGGGTGATGTAGGTGTGAGAGCGCGAGATGGTCTGCACCTGGCAGTGCCGAGTGTTGCTACCTCGCCGTGAGCGACACTCACGGCGGAGTGGGAACACGTCCACTTGCGGGGTCGACGGAGCGAGGATATCCGAGTGTGTGTGCTAGATTCATTGTTGTGCGAGCGTGAGGGATGGCGGCAGCTTGGAGAGGCCTTCATCTCGCAGTGGATAGAGCATGTCTGAGTGTGTGTATGCGGAATGCTAATGGAGCAGACAAAACTCTTCAAAGGAAGCAGAAAAAACTAAAAAAGTTTCAAAAAGAGAATGTTTTTTTCATCGAATTGTGACTCCAAATGACGACGTTCTTCTACTTACTTTGGAGGAGTCAATGGTCACGTGGCAACTAAGTGTGTGTAATCCTCAGAGTAACTTTACAATAATGATGAAAAATCCCACGATGGTTTGCAGTCCTTTGTTTATCCACCTATGAACGAAGGCCCCTCCATGTCACCAGAAATAATGACGACTTAGAAAATCGTTGAGAATGTGAGTTAACGTGTGTTACTGTCGTAGCCTAACCCCCCCCCCTTTAACCACATCAGGTCCGGCCTTGCATCTTGGCCTCTCGAAACGAGCCAAGCTGACGCCTCTCCACCCTGACTCAACATGAAATCACCACGGATCACCACAGATCACCACGGACCACCACAGCCCGCCACAGATCACCACAGATCACCATGGACCACCACAGCCCGCCACAGCCACCAGCCACTGACTCTTTCAACATGCCATGACATGTCCCAGTCAGCCACTAAGCCATTCCACTTGCCACGGTCTGCGAGTGATACATTCCAAACTCTGAGCACTACCACGGTTTGCCACTGAACCATGGCCTTGTCTGGGACAAGCACTTACCCATTCAACCGCCAAGGGCTACTACCACTGACAGCCCAAGTGCAACTCAACTTGCCATTACTCAACGTATACAAGACCCGCCATGCCTCAATAGGTGCGGTCTGCTGTAAGCCGACCTGACTTGCCACCGTAGAGATTGCCGCAGCCCGCTGTGAGGTGACTGCTCGCTGCCTGCAGCCACGGCCTAGAGCACGGCTGCTAGACTGACTTGAACCACCGCCGAAGACAACCTCAGCTGCCGTGGCTGAAATCTGAGGCACAGTTTAACAGTGAAAGCCCTTTATTCCAATTCAATAGCACGTTTTTTGTTAGCACATGGATGAAAATCATCTGAATAACTTAGTTTTAATGCTTTTCGTTAGAGTCTGTAGAGCAGTTTCGTTCTGCATTTAGTTTATTGTTATATAGCACGAGTGTTTGGTGTAAACTTTAACGCAAGACTGGTTATAATTCTGTATGACTTCACGAGATATTGGCCGGACTAGAAATGTTTTCATCCTGGCCTCACTGCACAACTCTCAACCCATTGTCCTGAAATTTAAAGACGTGGCCCAAAATTCAAACGGCTGTTATCTTTCGATTAAAAGCTTTCGTGACTGCAGGGATTCATCTTCTTGGTTCTTTCGGTAAAGTCACGTAGAATGGAAATAATAAAATAATAAAAATGAAACAATACAATTCTCACGACGTTTTGGCCACAACGCAAGCAGAAGAACAGGTGAAGAACAGGTCTGTCGGAAAGACAGACGCTATCTTTCCGACAGACCTGTTCTTCTGCTTGCGTTGTGGCCGAAACGTCGTGAGAATTGTATTTTATTATGTTTTATTTTTATTATTTTATGATTTCCCTTCTACGTGACTTTACCGAAAGAACCAAGAAGCTATTAACTTGCGGCTACACACCGATATTGTGTTCCCAGGACGCGCAGCCCAAGTTTGCGTCTGCGAGAGAAGAGCTACAGATTCTCCTCGCATTATACGGCTTCCTGTTTGTGCGATTTTGCGCTGTTTATGGGGCAAGCCGGTTCATACCCAAAATTCGCGAGATGCGGTTTCACTTAAGTCACGTGCGGCTACGCGCTCGGATGTAGGACAAGATTGTGTGTGTGTACTGTCCACGCTACTCGGCAGGCAGCTGTATCCTTGTGCGGTGTCGCTTTGTGTGCCCTTTTTGAAACGCATCTTCTACTAGCGCAGACAGCGAGGGAAACCTGTACATTGCACTTGTTAATTTTGACTTGCATCTAGAAGGGTTTAGGGGGGTCTGGATGCAATGTGACTTCGTGCTCCTTTACCAAAAGACATTCCAAACTCTTGCCCTCAGAAATACAATCCAGGTTTTAATGCACACACACACACAAGTAAGATGAGTGCAGTCACAGGTAACGGCAGTGTTTGTTTTAAAGCTTTCGTGACTGCAAGGATTCATATTTTTGGTTCTTTCGGGTAAAGTCACGTAGAAGGGAAATAATAAAGTAATAAAAATATAAACCAATTAAATTCTCACGACCTTTCGACTGCAACACAAGCAATCATCGTCAGGTGTGAAAACCACAGCAAGTAAATTTTAAAAAAATTGTATAATTTTATTTCGATTTAAAGCTTTCGTGACTGCAGGGATTCATCTTCTTGGTTCTTTCGGTAAAGTCACGTAGAAGGAAAATAATAAAATAATAAAAATAAAACAAAATTATTCTCACGACGTTTCGGCCACAACGCAAGCAGCCATCTTCAGGTGGAGAATTATTTTATGTTTTATTTGTATTATTTTCTTTCTACGTGACTTTACCGAAAGAACCAAGAAGATGAATCCCTGCAGTCACGAAAGCTTTAAATCGAAATTTGTCATTGTTGTTGTTTGGAGTGGAATCCATGGAGCTGCACAAGTCTACGTCATCACCTTCGGCATCGTCTGCATCGTTGTTGGCCAAGCAGCCTGTTGCTGTCCTGACCCTGGCATCGTTGCCTGTGACGGCGACAATAAAACAGAGTGCCTCCTCAATACGACTCGTGTCTCTCTAAAGTTTCGTGTCTCTCTAAACTAATTCAGCATCAAAGGGAGGGGATAGGGGTAGCATTAATAGTATGTAGCTGCTGATGCTGAATTAGTACTATTCACATACCTGCATTTCCCATATCCTCTATGCTTAATACAATGAACAAAGTAATATATAGTATCGTAATTGTATAGTAAATAAATAGCAGTGTGATACACATTAGGGTGGGTAGAATAATACATAGTGTTATATTAAAATGTATAAGGTATAGGGTGGTTTATAGCAATACAGTATGTAATTTAATGTTGGGTTTGTCTATGGCAGTATATAGTACGGTGTAGACTCGTGTGATGTAAGAGAATAAAGTTTAGATGGTAGCATATTATATAATTTTTACGACGTAGAATTGTAATGTATAACTTACAGTTAGTAACTCAGCTTATTGTAGAGTATAGTAAGTATACTGATGATGCTATGTAGTTTATACTTTAGTTGTTTACGTGGTGGTTTTAGTTACTGCAGCTACATACTATTAACACTCATTCCCCTGATTAATGCTACCCCTACCCCCTTCCTTTGATGATGAATTAGCACTATTCACATTCCTGCATTTCCCATATCCTCTCCCTTTGATGCTGCTAATCCTGCATAATGCACGGGCATATGTAGCACTAATCACATTCCTGCATTTTCCATAAATATGCTAAATTCATCTTGATATGCAAATTCCTTTGTCAAGACGCCCAGCTTATATACATGCTCCAAGCTCGTGTGCTGTTTCATTCAGACTCTGTCGCCTCGACAGACCTGGTCTTCACCTGAGGACGGCTGCTTGCGTTGTGGCCGAAACGTCGTGAGAATTATTTTATTATGTTTTATTTTTATTATTTTATTATTTCCCTTCTACGTAACTTTACCGAAAGAACCAAGAAGAAGAAGATACGTGGGATCGATTCCCGCATTCTCCAAGCGCAATATTTTTTTAAAATCAAATTTTAAATGTTAATTCCCAGCGTTAGTGTCTGTGACATCTTCACATTGGTGAACCAGCCTGGAAGTGCACTGACCTCTTGTCGCTCTCGATGTTGCTGTTTTGAAGCCCCTGTGAAGACGTTAGAGATGTGACGAGAAATAAAAAAATATAAAAAATATTATCGATCTTGGCAGGAGTCGAACAGTCAGCCGTGTGCCCCGTGACGTCACAGACCCCACCACGTGACTCGCACATCCCCCAGGGGACCTGCAACGTCGGCTGAGCCGCAGTGTTGAGTCTACGGCGCAGCGCGCAGTCTTATCAGTTCTACGGAATCCGAGTCGCACTCGCGTCACGTGGTCGTCTATCCGCACTACGTATTATAAACGCGCCCTGCCAATCTCACGAGATCGCCCCTGCCTGCAGCCTCCTGCCCGAGGTGTCGGCACGCGACGTCGGACCTCCTCCTCCTGCTGCTGCTGCACTCCACACGAGGACATTGTTGAGCGTGTGAGCACACAACGACGGAGAACATCACTCAAGACCCCCTCCCAAGACGTCGACGCAGCGTTGCGCCGGTGAGCCCTGCGGTAAGGCCTAGTCCCGGGGAGTGCCACCGGTCTCGGCTAGATTGCTCAGCCGGCCGAGGTCGCACCTTGGCCGGCTGGGGGTGGGCTGCTACCCCCCCCCCCCCCGTGAGTCAAATCAAGTACATAGACAAAGGTGCCCCGTGTAGCCTCTAGCAGGCTCTAGGGGCAAGTGCTGTTAGTAGCACCTATACACAGACAAAGGTGCCCCGTGTAGCCTCTAGCAGGATGTAGGGGCAAGTGCTGTTAGTAGCACCTATACACAGACAAAGGTGCCCCGTGTAGCCTCTAGCAGGATGTAGGGGCAAGTGCTGTTAGCAGCACCTATACACAGACAAAGGTGCCCCGTGTAGCCTCTAGCAGGATGTAGGGGCAAGTGCTGTTAGTAGCACCTACACACAGACAAAGGTGCCCCGTGTAGCCTCTAGCAGGATGTAGGGGCAAGTGCTGTTAGTAGCACCTATACACAGACAAAGGTGCCCCGTGTAGCCTCTAGCAGGCTGTAGGGGCAAGTGCTGTTAGCAGCACCTATACACAGACAAAGGTGCCCCGTGTAGCCTCTAGCAGGATGTAGGGGCAAGTGCTGTTAGTAGCACCTATACACAGACAAAGGTGCCCCGTGTAGCCTCTAGCAGGATGTAGGGGCAAGTGCTGTTAGTAGCACCTACACACAGACAAAGGTGCCCCGTGTAGCCTCTAGCAGGATGTAGGGGCAAGTGCTGTTAGTAGCACCTACACACAGACAAAGGTTCCCCGTGTAGGTGATGGTTGGTGATAGTTGGTGATGGTGATGGTGGTGATGGTGGTGGTGATGGTGGTGGTGGTGATGGTTGGTGATGGTGGAGGTGATGGTGGTGGTGATGGTGGTGATGGTTGGTGATGGTTGGGGATGGTGGTGATGGTTGGTGATAGTTGTGATGGTGGTGGTGATGGTGGTGATGGTTGTGATGGTTGGTGATGGTGGTGATGGTTGGTGATGGTTGTGATGGTGGTGGTGATGGTGGTGATGGTTGGTGATGGTTGTGATGGTTGGTGATGTTGGTGATGGTTGGTGGTGGTGGTGATGTTGGTGATGGTGGTGGTGGTGGTTGGTGGTGGTTGTGATGATACAGGGAGCTGTTCTCGCTGCATCACAACCCTCAACAGCAACAGCAACGACGACAAGAAGCCGCAGCGATCTGCCATGGAGCGAGCCGGCAGCGGTGGCGGCGGCGGCCGCGGCGGCGTCAGCGGAGGCGGCAGGAGGGCGGAGGACCGGCTCGCACGGCCGTCCGCGGGCCTCGGGGGCCGCTCCAGGCCGTCCGCGGGAGCCCCCCCGCAGAGCGGCGGCGGAGAGCGCCCCGGAGCGCGAGCTGGGGGGGGGGGGGGCGGCGAGGGGGAGAGGGGCGGAGTGCGCCGGGAGAGCGAGAGCGGTGGACGCGACGCGGCGTCACTCGTGGGACTCGTGGGACTCGCGAGAGCGGCAGACGCACACGCCGAGAGAGAACGCCAGACACCTCCAAGCAGAGGGGCTGCGCGCACACAGGGGGGGGTTGCAGTGGGAGGTTCGGGGGGGCGCGGGGGGGAGGGGGGGGGAGACGGGAGGGGGGGGGAGGGAGGGCTCGGGGTGGTGGAGCCGGGTCACGGAGAGGCTGCGGCGGGTCACGATCGGCGTGGGTGACGTGGACTGGCGAGTCCCTTCGGGAGCGGAGAGCGCGGGAGAGCGGGGACGGCCAGAGGGGGGGCTCGGCCCCCCGGGGGCCCCCCCTCAGCATGAGTCTCGTTTGGCGACTGCCTCGCGACGACGACGGGAGGTTGGTGGCCGTGAGAGCCGCAAGTTCCCCGTTCCCACGGCGGGTTCCCGAACTGTAGAGAGGAGGGGACGTCGTCAGCGGCCCGTTGTTTATGACACTGGTCATAAACACACTATCCTAAACATACAGCACCGTATTGTAACACTAAAGAAGTCACTGACTCGCAACGACTTGCAATCATAAGTGACAGAGTTAATTTCGGGTAAAATCAATGAAAATGGGGAATGCCGATAGCATCAAAATGAGATGTCTAAAACAGCTGCAAAAGTCCAGGCCAGAATTTTTTTTTTGTGTTGACCAG